CTTATGAGAACTAACTGCTAATCATTATTCGACAAGAATTTAAACCATCTGCTGTGTTTATGAGTAATCTATAACTGTATGTTCATCATCACACCTTCTTATCCATACAAATCACTCATTCTCTTCATTGTCTGATAAAAATCTCGGTGGACTAGGTTGAATTTAAACCTACTTCGTAAGTAAGTTTGTAGACTGGTACGTACAGTACAGAGCTGCCAAACTGAATGTCTTTAGTTCGCAACGTCACCTTCAGTCTGCATTTTACCACACTGAGAACAAGTTTGATAACTGGTGCTACCATCACAGATAATCTCACTAACAACAACATTACAATCGTTATTTTCCCCAACAGATGACTTAAGGAACATCTACAGAACAATATAAATCACACTGACGAATAAAACCTAGAAATCCACAGACATACAAATTTAGAGGTTACTAAACATTTGAAAAGCGCAGCCCTCTGATAGAAATAATCGTCAACAAAGGCGTAAGTCTTAACCAAACATTGAATAGTTTAGTAAGTCAATATAAAACATGACAAGATGGTATAAATAAAATATTTTGTGATGATTAAGATCCACTTGAATCTAATTAAGTTTAGAGTTTAACACGTAGGCAAGTCGTAACAAGAAAACCCTTAAACATACTACCAAAGAACATTCTCGGTACACTAAAATACTTGTTTAGATAATTCAACAATTTATGAATTTAGAGTAAATGAAGTTATCTAGCATGACGATGAGATGTTTACTAGCAAAAAAGAAGTCACAGATAAGTTCAACTGTAGTAACTTTGAAGCTAAAACACGTTCCTACTAGGCTAACAGATCAAGGTATCTATGACCCAATCAATCTAATTATGAAACATTTTGACTTTCTCAGTTGTATCAATATACCTGTATGTATTGTTCACAATCTGAGTTTCAAAATAAATAAAATGGTTACCGAATGCTCATACATAGTTGGAAAGCCTTACAGAATGATGAATGATTGGCTTAAAAAGAACTCATACACTTCAGAAGAAGAAGAAGAAGAATGTGTTGTACAACCGACATACAAATATTCGTTTCTATGCCTATTTAATTGCTGTATTCTTACTATAAATGTTATGTTATAAAAACAGTTTTTCAGTGGCATTCATATCGTGAACTGATATCAACTGAAGAACTACTGAGAAACTAGAAGCACTAGCCATATATGTCGTTCCAGTATGGGACCCCTCTTCGGCAGTGAGCACCGCCAACCAATTCCAGTAAAGATTGAACTCGAAACCTTCAGGTTTCGTGACGACCACGTCGCCAATGAGCCACTGGTTCTAAATTTGATGATCCACCTTTTTGCCTCAGTAAATCAGATTTTAAAACGTACCTCTTTGGATGTTTGATCGATCAAAATCACCAAGTGAGGAGTGCTGAGATCAGGTGAAGAGTATTAGGCAAGGCAGACAAGTCAGTTGATGAAGTTATGAACCTTCCTCTATTGAGACGGTTTGGACATGTACTTCAAATGCCGACCCATTGCCTACCTCGACGTGCCATGCTTGTGGAGAAGGTTGGATTAAGTTAAAAGAGGATTCAGAATGACCAAACCAAAGTATGGTATCAGTCCATGAATAAGACAGCGTCATTTTATTTCAGACACTCAGCAACTTTATGTATATTCGTGTAGCAGACAGAAGGTCACATCTATTGTGTGAAGACTAATGATATTAATTGGTTGCCAAAACCTAAGTAAGCAGAGCCGGGTTCGAACCCATTTCTCACCGGTTGAAACGAAAGATACTCAGCCTAAGGACAGGAAGTGAAGTGGTAGGATGCACTGACCACTTCACTTACTTGCAGAGTTGCAACAACGCGAACGGGCTGGTTGTTTATGATATCTCAGCTTGGATACAAAAGGCTCGTTTCTCATTTGCCAACTAAAGTCACGCATGGCACTGACTGGCAAGATGTCCAACTACCTTTTAAAGGATGAGTGAACTGCACTGCAGTTGTCTCTGTTTTAGTAAACAGCTGTGAGACATGTCCGTTGAAAATATAAGATACGAAGAGAGATTACAGGTCTCCGATTACAAGTATTTTCATAGCATAACGTGTGTACAATGAAATCACCAGGTGAGCAATGTGGAGGTTAGGTGAAGGATACTAAGCAAGACAGGCAAACAACCTAATCAATGAGGTTGTGAAGCCTTACTAACTGAGTTAGCTCGGACAAGTATTGCATGTACCGAGCCACTGTCTACACCTCATACAACCAAGGATGTTTCACAGTTAATGTGCTTTTTCAGTCACATGATTTTACACACTAAATAAATGATACAATCGCAAGCGCTAACGCTCAAAGCCCATCGTCGAGGGAAATCAGTCAGGAAAATAGATCCGCCTATTCTGTATGCACCTATTCTCTCCAGAGGATGATAAAAGTAGTCACATTTAGTTGTCACAAATTAGTATAGATTACTTCTTAGGTGTTAGACTGCAGTTAAACTTCGTATTCATCTAGTTTCTTTTATTGGTTTTGTTTCTAATGCATGTTTTCGTTGTCACTAACCGTGAACTACATGTCACATAGCCACTGAATGCAATGATCAACGTCATGTGTCTGATTACCACTTCGGAAAGCATATCATACTGTTTGTAGTGCTTAGAAAGCATATGACAACTTGATTAGTGAATGATATCATGAATAAAAACACCAGAACTTTCATTTTTCACACTTTGAACAATATAGCATGCTAAATGTAACAGGCAATTGTGACAAAGTACTGATAACTTCTAAAGTGTTTTGTCACACCTAAAGCAAAACCAACACGTTTTACCACCCACTCAATAATCAACATTCAGTTGAAATATGCTAAAGACTATTCATACTATTACTCTAGAATATAAGGGTGAAGATGATCTCTAACAGAAGATCACAGACAATTAGTAAGTAGTAGTAAGCATCTTTCAGCTTTAATGTATGAGAAGGACAAACAAAATTACCACCTTTTTTTCAAATTCATTTTCCTCTTATACCAGTTGATTTACTACAAGAAGGATAGTTTGCAAATACTCTAAGAAGAGATTCATTTTCCTTTAAGCTTACGCATTCGCCGTAAATTTGATTATTATTATGTTGCTTGATATGTGTAATCTCTCATTGCTATACCGGGTTGAATTGCTCCACCTCTGTTGATAGATGGGCTCCAATCCAAGTGCCTTGATACTGCTCGCTTACTTATTATGTTGTAATCTACTTGGTGGCTAGCACTTAGAACTCATCAGCTGGATATACTTTCACCCCAGTGGATGATGTTGTTCCCACTGAGACTCGAACCTAGAACCCATCGCTTCAAACGCTAAAATGTCATCCAATAGGCCACTACAGCATGTTTGAAGCTATAGGTATTGGTTCCAAGTCTCGGTAGGAACAACATCAATCGCTGAGGTACAGGCACATACACCCAACGAATCCCACATAGGAGGAAATCTACATCCTGGATTCCGATTCTAGCCACCAAACAGTTTGACTATTATCATATTGACAAATTTAATTGCATAACTGTAGACAACTGACAAAAAGTTGTTGAAAAAAGAATATTCTTCATTCTAGCTTATAACATCATAAAAGATAATAATAATAATCATGAAATACTAAGAACTATATGGTCAATTAGCTGAATACGTGTATGTGAACCGAATCCATTAAATTATCGCAATAAGAAAGAAGTCACAAACGCTAGTGTAATTAGATCCACAGAATGCCAATAATTTCAACGTTAAGATACTAAAATTTTGTTGTTTAAAAGATGGTAGAATAAGTCTTGAATGAGTACAAAAATTAAAAGAATTTCATGAATACCGTGGAATTACTGATTGTAAAGTATGCGGTAGATACTCTTCTATGTTAAAACTTTAGTTAAATCATGCTAGTCGATGCTAGGACATATTCAGAATATGCATTGAATACAATTTATAGTTTCTCAACAGCTCCAGTAGACTAACTAAATCAATTAACCAATCATTATCAACGTAGGACCAGGCATTACTGCGTAACGGTCCGAGTTGCCGCCACACCTCACGTCAGTTCATCAAGTAGAAAGGTAGTGAGGTGATGGATGAAGACAAGTGAATGCAGTCGAAAGAAATATTAAGTACTAGAAGAAAGAAAAGAGGAGTGACGAAATGGTGAGATTCGACATAGTGTCGTTAAGATGAGGATAATGTGTGTATACATCTGCACCACTGACATCGGATCTGCGTCATATCCCCTAGAGTCAGTCTCCAGCCACTGGTTCCTCTTGTCCCGTGGACCCCAACCACCTAGTGTGCATCGCCCTACATGGCTCAAACCAACAGTCAGAGACTTCATACATTGGTGTCATGTTTCAGTTTGGCGACCTCGGGTTTTTTTCCAGCCTGGACCTGCTTCGACCAACATTGTGTGACTAGGTAATCGGTGACTAGGCATACGTAGTGCGTGTCCCAACCATCTCAGTCGATGAAGGTTCATAACCTCGTCAACTGATTTACCTCTACTCCTAACTTCTGCATTACTCACATGGTGACACCATGGAATACGGCCTATACTACGAAGGCAACGGTGGTCAGTAAACTAACTAACCCAAACATTGTATCCGTCGTAATCATGTCAATGATTATTCACTTATACGAATACCCTTTAGACATCCAGATTCCCCAACAAATTATTCCTATTGTAACAGCTCTGACGGAATCTAGTATTCATCACACGACAGTTCAAACAGTGTGACATACTCTGGAACGCTTTAGAATCAAGTAAATGGTTTATTTAAGGATAAGATTTCAAAGATAGCCTAAAGTAAGGTAGGAGCTAACCGAAGTCGAACTTTTTTTAATCCAAGACTTTCACTTGATGACCCATAAGAATCACTTGAGATTTTAAATTGATACCAAAACGAGTGTTTTCCTATTCTGTTTTGGGTCTCCAATAACCTGAAAGTTTCATATATATCTCAAAGATAAATAGAATGCTTACTTCAACCAATTCCATTCTTCAATGAGTGATAACTGATAAACCATACTTTTAGCCTCTTCATAAGAGGGTTCCGTTAATACATGTCCATCAGTTGCAAAAGAGAATCCTTTCGATGCTAATTTGGTTAAAGTATTTGTAGATAATCTTGGAGCTGGACGATGTAAATGTTCAGATGTATCTGTCAGTTGATCAAGATATTTATCAAGCATTTTCAGTATAAATGATGGTGTTTTTGAAAATGGCATACATAATTTATGAAAACATGCCATATGCCGTGCAGCAACATCTATCACTAGTGGGAGTTCTTGCGTTGTAAGCGGTCTAGACTATAAGAAATAAAAACATGAATAGTTTTAAGCAACTTATGACGAAGAAAAAGAGTCAGAGAACCTTTATATGTTGACGCTTTGCAAAGCAAGGCACAACAGAAACGCGAATACATAACGAACTTAAAATTTTGGATAAGAACACATATACTGATTTCAATGGAACAGTTTTACTGCTTAAGATTTCATAATAGACAATTATTTCACAAACATATACATATACATTTTAGATAGGACTCTTGTAAGTAAATGTTTGTTATAAAAGGTGATGATTGAAGCTGAAACTGAGAGTATTCAAACCAGCACTCGCAACCCATGTTTTCATTTTACCTTCAATTATTATCGTGTATCAGAAATATGAGTCTACCAAACCGCAGCAATCTCAGATACCTTCACCAATAAACGATTGTTTTCTCAGAAGAATTGAGAAAATGATACGAACACTAGTTGATAACCTGATTTGGAAATGAGAAAGGTAAACTCACTCTAGAAGACTAACAAAATTAGCTATTTGGGAACTATACCTTCATATGTGACAAAGCTTGTATGAAACAAATCGACCCCAGAGCGAAAATTCATGACAAAACTACGTGTCTATACGCTTAAAAGTGTCTCACTAAAATACACATGCCAAAAAATAGTAACCATTTGATACTAAATGAAGTTTGTTGATGGAGGAATGTAGCGCTACCAATTACCTGGAATTGTGTAGAGCTTAGGTGTGTAAAGCAAAGAACTACTAACTTTAATTAAAAGCTACTTGGACGATATAAAAAAATTGGATATGTAGCCTTAAAATATTAAACACACTTTCACAATTCAAACTCACATACCTTGGAAATGCTACTGTTCATCTGTGTGCAGTTATTCGTAACACATGCTTCACAACAGCATTGATTAGTGAGACGTAGTATACACGAACTATGATACTCCTCTCCTACATCAATAGCAAGCTAAAAACTGCGGCTCATTGATCTAAGCACTCGACTTTTAAAGAGATGACTAGTTTCCTCTACCGATGTTCGGGCATCCAAGTAGTGTCCTTAGCCAGCATACAAAAGATAGCTTAATACCTATTGTACGAAGGTGCATGTGGTTGGTGGGTGCATTTTGATACAAACCTCTTCTGGCATACATTTCTTTGACTATACTACTTTCAACTGATCCCTCTGTATGATGTTCATACATTGTTTTATGTGACTTGTATCCTAAGGCAGGTATTTGTCTTAAATGACTAGTATATAATTTTATGCAACAGATACGATCCTAGTGAGATGAACGATCTTGAAACACATACAAGGATCACCTAATTCAACTTTGTACTCAGAGTCTGTAGATAATAAATGTTAATTGACTACTATACTTTACATGGGTTCCTTCATTTGAGTACTCTCATGTAAAATTTCCGACAATATACGTCTATTATCATGATCCTTCTGGAATGCTATAGCATCTCAACTTGAAATGGACGATCAATGAAAGCAAAATACCAAATGTTTGTTGACAACATGCAAGCTTTTTAAAAACGCTAACGAATCAAAGTAAAGCCACTAAAGAAAAATGAACTGATAAAAGGTTTTATCAACTACTGAAACAATGACAATATAAGTCAAAAAAGGAAGTATTTACGAGATTTTTCACAGTGATTTGGTCAACATGATGCTAAAAAAATAAACTGCAACTTCCCTACTTGGTTTTTTCAGAACAAAGCAAGAAGGTGAAGTTTTGACACTAATATATGCTTGTACAAAAGAGCAGTTGGAAAACATTAATTTCAAACCATCAGTCTAAATAACATCCGGAATCCTGAAGAAAAGAACGGCATAGCAACCAGTTTAGAGCCCTGACAACCATGGGATCTCAACTTTTGACGCTGTCCTGCTATCTTGAAGGTAAAACTTGCATCGGAGGCTCAGAGGATGTTTATTTTCAGAAAACCATTTGCTACATCCTGAGTGCCCGAGTAGTACCACAGCCTGCATATTAAATGTGATTAAACATTCAAAGATGAAGGTTTCAAAACGTGTTGCATGACCAATTTGAATGAAGTTTATGTTCAGGGTAATGGGTCACTATGATAAATTTAAACAGCGTAATGAGAAGACAAAGATTATCTGAAACATGTGTGATGTATCAGCTCTACAACTTTCGAACAATCTGATCACATTAATATAACAATTTACGAAAAGGATCAATTGAGTCAATGAGAAACATAAGAATACGAAGGGTAGATAAGAAAAAAATAAATCAGTTGGATGAAGGCAATCTACAGGAAGCCGTGCTCCACCTAGGTTTCGTGTTTGTGCTGAAACTTGTCAGCAAGGCGTATCTGCAACCTCTAGGGAACTGATGTTCGCCTGAGATTCAAACCTGTATCACCCAGTGTTGCAATTACAGACGTTACCACTGAGCTATTTGGGCCACAAATGACCTTCTGTAGGACATCACGTCACTATTGGTATGAACTTTAATAAATTTATGCATTCAGCCCTGACCACTTTTATGCAATACTTTAAAGAGTGTTTTCATGTGTACCTCATGACTAGTTTCTAGTATATGTTTACCAATTGATGAGGATGAACATTTACCACCTCTACCTACCGCCTCTGTTGAGATGATTTGTTTTTGAAGCCACTTAGGTACATGTTCAAACAGCTTTAACTGCAGATTAAGATTACTCCCGCCCTATGTACATGTGTCCACACATACATGTGAACTGATAAATACAATGGGATATGATGCAATCACGTATGTTGTAACAAGGACTTTTTCTCCTCTACATGATGACCTTGACTGCACAATATATTTTATAGATGGCTGATTTAAGCCTTTTTTTTCACAATTTAGCTATGTAAATCACCTCTAAATGATACTGAGAGGTGAATATTTCTCATAGGAACTGCTTCATAACTTTTGCACCTGATGATAAATTTCAACGAGTAGCCACTTTGTGTCTGCGTTGCAGTCAGCAACTTGGTTTCTTCCTTTTTCAGATGATCTTCATTTTCTCATTATCCTGTATAAACAGTACACAGTTGGTTTAAATAACTGACTTTCTAAAAATGTCTTATTTCTATTCAATTTCCGACTTTTCAGTCAGTTTATTACTAGGTATGCACGGCCTCATAAGTTTATCTAATTATTTGTAAGTAATTTGCTTTATTATTAGTGATTACAAGTTCATAGGATATTAAAACAGTATCTTCGTGACTCAGTCACATATACTTCACTACTTTATGTGTTCATAGTATAATACATATCCATCATTTGAGCGGATACTTATATACTGGTTTTCAGGAGAACAGAATATACATCTAGGCTATTTAAAACCGGGACGGTATACAGCTTCATCCTGTGGCGCAACCACACGAGTGCCTTCACCCCGGTGGCGCCGAAAACGATTCTTTTGTTGAAATTTGAATTCAAAAACGATACTGTTGCAGAGATCTTCAGGAAACGACTGTCAAAATCCCTAAACAGAACATACTTCACCGCCAACCTTCGGATTATCTTCTCTTGCTAAAAACTTTTTGGTCAATATGTGAAGCACAAGCTGACCCATTGGGCTACATCAATGTGTGCATATCAGTTTACTTGCTCTTGTGGAGCTGGGCACATCGGCTGTACCATATGTTCGCTTGTAAAACGTGCCCAGCCTGACTGGCAAAGGGAGAACCGAAATGTATCCTCAGTTCAATGACAGAACACCTCATGAACTCAGCTCCTTTTGACAGCCCATTCAAAATTATCTACAGCGTTCGATCAAACCACTCGAATGGGGAAGATCAAGGCATTTATCTATAACTGAAGCATTAGTCATCCAGAAATTCAAACCAGCGTTATGCATCCAAAAAAGGTATGTCCAACCTTTATCTTTGCCATGGCTATCATAAAGTCTTGACTGTCATAAATTCATTTAGTATTGGATAACCATACATGTATTTCCTTCATCCCTTGTTTATTTTCCTACTGTCACAGATTTAACCTGCATTATATAATTACAATCTTATTTTCATAATGCCCTGTTTATTTTGCTACTCTGTCATAGGTTTATCTGGTATAACATTCACAGATTCACTTTGTTTTACGAATTACTGGTCTACTGACCTGACAGCTACTGTTTAAATAAAAGTGTTTCGAAAAAGCAAATAAAATTCATTTGATAGTTACAAACATTCGTTTCTCACTATTAGTACTCAGGAAATAAAAACATTACCGCTGGAACACTAAAAAAGAATTAAGAAATGCTATGCTCATTCTGTCCGTTACTTCATCTAACGATGAGGCAACTAGACTAAACTTACATCAATATATTCTTCAATTCGTCCACCAGGAAACACACCATGCAATTTAGGTCCAATTCGTTTTTCCGAAAGTAAAGCAAAACTGACTGAGTCTGAAATGATAGAATCTGTGCATTTCCTCAAAACTTCACCGTATACTCGTATAAGTACTTTACGGGGTTCATTTCCAGTAGGAATAATGTCATCGTTTAAAAATCCAATATACAAGTAATTGCTTAGTCCACAACTCCTAAAATAAAAATACATAACATATGAGTGTTGGATACAAGTATGACATGAAATCAAAGCTACACCAAGTGTTTGACCAAATGAATAAATGAACACAGTACATAGTTAGAATCACCGGTTTATTAAGCCAATTCTTTCAAGTGCCATTTAGAAGAAATACCCGTCACAGAGTTAATTGTATTTGTGTAATTTACTGATTACCATGGCAAGTATAGACTAAGTGCTTCATGGAATTTACACATATCTTTCATTTAAACGGAAATAGCTAAAACCAGACTACCTCCTTAGCTGAATCGTAACGTTTCATATACAAAACCAACTAAACTGGTTATGGTAGCACCTTACACGCCAGTACATGGACCAATGAGTGCAGTCAAAAAATCATTTCGATCACAAAAGCAAAGTAACTGCATGATTTTCAAAAAAATTAAGAAACATGGACAAACACGCTTCCCTTCCTCAACAAGTATTTCCTCACCAAATATAGACTACCAACTAACCATTCAAAAGGAGAGTAACTATGAAGAACAGAAGACGAATATTCCACGCTAGATTTCATCATCGAGTCAGGGGTTACAACTTCACCCGATCCACTGATGGTTGGGTAACCACAGTATTCTACAACAATGAGTACCGAAATTTTGCTTTCCCTCGAAAGTAATAGATCACAAACCAAAAACTAATATACAACCTTAAGTTCGTTGATTCCACAAAATCATACGACCAGTTAAAGATGTTTAGGAATATTTATTCAAGTCCGACATATGAGCCTTTACCTCACACATAAGAATCTACTGGCACCCAATATCGAAACCCATCAACCTTGTGTACAACCGTGCATTAGGCAACGAGCCACACCTTTGAGTGACGGCAAACGATACTAACTGGCTTCCTAAACCCTGATAAGGGGAGCAGTGTTCGAACGCGTGACCCATTGATTGAAAGTCAACTGCCGAAACGAATGAACCATAGCTGCATATAAGAATCTCCCGTTCCAAAGAAAGTTTACATGAGGTGAAACAAACAGCCTAAAACTGTAGACATATCCCCCAATTTCAAATGAAATACACCAGAGAATTTATAGCAATTACAATGACTTCAAACAACATGCATACATTACAAATGTGTAAATAAAAATAAAACCAATAACTACTTTACCTTCTCCTTTCTTGAGATAACAGTGAAGCTACGGCCTGCACTAAGATTTCGACCAGAATTTCATTAATCAATGCATCACCCTAATGAATAATGAATATGCAAACCTAGTTTGATGCCAATCAGGGGTCACACTTGTATGGTTAACATTGGTTAGGAATCTTAACATCACAGATCTTCTGAAATGATATCGATGGCAGACAGTGAAAAATGTATAATGTTGCATCAAATACTGGCATATATTTCATCACATCTAACCACAGTTAACATAAAGTCAGTGGATTAAGAGTTTTTTACCAGTTAGCTTTCTCGATTCATACGAGGTTTAACAAGTCTTCTTTATTTTAGGGAAAGAACAGAGATACTAACTAGAAATATGAAATCTTTTTATTAATGCAACTCTATTTGATCATATTTTTAAATATGAGCTAAGGGGAACACGCTTCCACGTATTTTAGTCCTGTAGTCTTTGAAAAGCCTGTCAATGTTTGCAGCAAAATTGTTAGTTTTCCAATGATTAGGTTAGTTGCATGAAACTATAATGAACTTACCGTGACGGTTCTACGCAAAAGTTGCTTGTATCAGACCAACTTCCAGAAAGAATTTTTGAGCACTGTGTTTTAAGGTGGCTCATGATGTTTTTAGAGTGTTCTGTTATTTTGTCAACTGCTAAAGGAATAGCATCTGGGCATGGGACGTCATCTTGCTCATCGTTTGGTAAAGAAAAACTGACTACAGACATGAAATTTCAAAGACAATAAGGACTGGATTTCAAATCTGAACACAATAGGTACAAAAAGAGGGATAAAAATGATTGTTACAAAATACATTTTTTTTTGAAAAAAAACTAAGCTGGGAAGTGTCATCTGAGAACAAATGAAAGAACGAAATCCACCCAGGAACGTTATGCATATTTGTACAGTTGGAGATGAGTCAAGCCTATTACGTGAAGGCTAATAATACCAGCTGGCTATCCGAACCTAGGCATTTGAAGTAAGGGTTCCGGCCTGTGACCCACCAGTTGAAAACCAAGTGCCTAGACCGATGAGTCGCAGCTTCTGTCATTTGAAAACTCCATATAAGTTGTGCTCTAGTAAGGTTATCAATGCCGTCCAAGTTATAATCATTTAGACGGCCTATTATTCAAATCTATAACGACTGGTTTTTGAGTCAGGCCAAATATATATATATATATGTATATATATGTATTGCGTGTGTGTGTGTGCAGCTAAACACAATATTACAATCCTTAAAATCAAACAATATACCAGAAGAACATCCGGTTATATATACTAAACAATAACCTTGCTGCAAAGATTTTAATCTGACTTTAAGGACAGCAAGGCTTCTATTGGAATTAAAGTTTTTCCAGTGACTACACAAAACTTAAAAGCCAACACACGTAAACATAAAGAAACATGTTTCATAGCGGATTTTCAGACTTTTACAATATGATCATATAAAAAACGACAAAACAGTCCAACTTAAGTGACGTTGACATGGGTTCGAACTGCTACACCTAACAAAGAACGGAAACGACTAAAAAGAACCATGGAAGATACGCAAAAGCGAAATAACATGCCATTAATTACCATACGGAGTGAAAACTTTTCAGCTGGATTACTGAGGCTTAGTGTTAGCACTGCAGAATATTGAACAGAAATACGAATGACTTTTATAGCACGCAACACACTGGACACCGCATAAATGTTCTGATTGGCTGCAAAAGGTCAGTTAATCCAAGTGTGAGAGGTAGATAGTAATTCTTACCTGTGGAATGAACTAAAGTCAATATTAAGTGGGTACTCCGAAATTTGTATACATATCAAGATTTCAATCTATTCAGTGGTAATTTCACCTCCAAATAATTTACCTTGTTAGTTGTATGCCTAAATTACGTTTTGAGATTCCTAAGTGTAGAATTACCACTCATTCTTACTTTTGATACTTCGAAAACCATCGCTTTGGAGAAACAATGGTGCACTTAGAGTGAACATATAGAATTCACTCGCACTTATTCTATCAAGTATTCGGATGTAAAAAAATAAGTTTCTGCATCAGTACAGCTGACAATTTACAAGGCTAGCAGCGTTTAGTTTTGTCTACAATTCCCTTGATTCGTAAGTCAAAAATTGGACCAAAGGAGTTAGCGTGGAATTATCATCCTAACATTCAAACCACTACGTAATTTCAAAATTCTGAAGCATCCCCTTTAAGACGACAGTATCAGCTAAAAATAGGGAAATCCCCTTTAGAGTGATATAATGAATCGTTTGATATACGCGGCATGAAACATAAAAGTTGGTAACGTCAGACCAAGCTAGAGAACTTGAAGCTAGGATGAAAATACTTTGCACAATTTCATCCCAGGTGTTGGTCTCAGCTACTGTCATTGTATGTGAAATGAATGAAAATGGCTCCATAAGAAATTGCGTAGAGTATCAAAACAATAAACTAAGATGACAAACTGGGTGAAACACCGACATATGTCAGCGAAGTGGTGTGCAAAACCATGTGCATAAAATATTTGAATATTCGTTCAACCCAAAAACAACCTTGAAGGGTCAAGTGCAGAACAGCAGTTCTATATGCAATATATATGCACGACGACTAGTCAAAATATGAAGGATTTTCAAATTCCCACAACTTCACATTGAAAAATCAGTTGATGTCTGTCAAATTTCGCACTTTTCTGATGCATCTCACACCGGCATTCTGCTCAGTATATCTAAAATCTGTTTAATGAGCCACTTGATTTTTTTACGCTTACTTTTAGGTCTTGTTGAGTGTTTTCAGCTTTTTAGTATATTCTGATGCATAAGAACCAGACAGCTACTTGTCCTATCTCTAATACGTGCCGGATTTTGATTGAATTTGTAGGAAGGTAGTTGGTCCTGGGACTGTGGGGTAAATGAGATGTCAGATAACATATTACTAGAAAGGTATCCGCACTGGTCATGTAAAAAGAACGTTGATCCAGAGAATAACCTAGGGAAACACATGAGAGAAAATGAGGCAAGAGAGAAACAAACAGTTTTTCGGTTTCAGTTACAATGATTTTAGAGCCCCTAGAGTGCAGTCTAGCATGATAAGAGGCTTCTAGGCCAAAGTTGTATTCTACAACCATGAGAACTTGGTGTACTCATCTTTAACTTTCTCGGGGAACAAGGAGACCAGCCAACATCGTTTACGGTTGACCACCCGTGGAAACAATAGCTACCAGACCGAAATCGCTATGTATGCAAGGTTGGGTGATCAAGCACCTGACACCAAGACTAAATCAGCTTCTTTTTAATTACATTAAATCCACTTCAGAACACATCTCCATAAGGAATAGTAATGAGCGCCACAGTGGAGTCACTCAGAAGGTTCTTGGACAAGCATACTGGCACACACGGTCAACCTGTAAACCATGCACCGAGATCCGGAAACGTAGGAACAACAAATACCAAACAATCAAGTCCCGGCCTGCCACAACAATCAGTGGTGCAACATGAAAGTTCCTCATCCTTCTCATGCCCAAAGCAAATTACAAAGAAATAACATTCGATGCAAACATACATAAAATAGAAAAACAGAGGGTACAACAGAGATAATGAGCTATAAATATTTGCACGACAACCAAAGGCCGCATCGACAAATTCATTGCGAGGCTATACAGTCGTGTTTATGGTCAGTGAAATGACAGATAGTCGCACTGAAAAGCTGCTCAGTGAGCATACAAAGTGGTGGTTGGATTTATCCAAGTGGAGGGAACACAAAACGGGTCACTGAGTAAGGAACGAATTTGTAGCAAGCGATGAGTTAGGGGACGAGATCTGTCAACGAGTTGTAAAGAGATGATGGTTTAACTGAAGCATGCCAAATGGGTCGGTGAATAAGGGACAAATTGATATTAACTAGCTAAATACGGGTCAAATGTTGTCAGTTAAGTGTAGGATGGTGGTAATGATAATAATAGGAGCGAAGTGTGCCAAGGTGAAATGGAATGAAGTTGATGAAGTAACCGAAATGAATGCGCCACATCGGTGAAATCAACGTGGCGCGTAAGTCTAGGATACAGCCCTACGTTTTTTCTTTAGACACCGGTATCCCACTTGGTGAAACTGTCTGTTATCTATTAGGCTTTTTTCAGAATCCTGTTAATCTGTTCAGGGGTAACGGCTGATGTTGAAATCGTGAGTCCTGTGACAGCTGTTTGAAGCATCGCATTCCCCAAGATATTTATCCACGAGAGTGCGAAATTCGGAACATTCGTCATTAAATTACATTTCCCAGGAAAATGCAAGTTAGGGATCTGGTATTCGCGTGAGAAGCCGCAGCCATAATCCTGGAAATCCGTCTGTTAATGAGTAACAATTTTGTATTATATGCCGCTAGATTGAATGAGATTCGTCCCTGTGTTGATACTCGCAATAGGAAGGAATCCGCACGAAGACAATGAAAGGTTTTCTGACTGATAAAATGCATTACATTTGTCCCAGCAAAATGTGTATCCCAACTCAATCAGCGCAAATTTTGTGTCATTGTGTGTCTTTTGGAATTCTTCCTGAAACTAACGGCAGACGGACTGGTGACTACCTCAGAAATTAATGCATTTTACTGGCCGCATACTAGTAGTGGCAAGAATTACGATCGCTCAGGAGTGTTGATCTTTCGATGAAAGATGTTGTTCGATTTCCACGAGGGTCACAAAGGTGACCTGAAGGAACATATCCGCTTCTCGGCAGGTTGAAACACTCAGTAATCTGTTGGCTGTTGACCGGTCGTTATGCATCCCCAAGGGTAACCAAAACTGCCAAGACCTAGATCGTCCAGCCCTCCCGGTATTGTTTTCCCCAGACTCCCACCACAACCTTTGTTGCTCATCTCTTGGCTTTCTTCTGGAGGTTCACGTTTCCTTTCACGTGTAGCCCTGCAGTGATGCCAACTTATTGGCGATGTGCGTGTAGTATTAGCTCGTCTAGATCTTTCCTTGATGTCGCGGCGACAGATTCTCTTCGCATGCAATTTTTGTGCAAATTGACTTTGCTGTTTTTGTTACTGCTTGTGATTTCTTATGTCTTCCTCCCCAATGTTCCACTGAAATTCTTCTGCTTTTCTTGTCGTGATGGTTATGTACTATGTTTGTTATGAATTTCTTTCTGAGTCGGGATCACCTTACTTTCATGCCTCTTTTTTCTGTTTTGTTCTCCGAATCCGTTGGTACTCCATGCCGGCCACCTGAATCCCAGCAAGTAGATGGCCAAGTGTCAACTCCATGTGCAGAGTAAACTAAATTTTCAGTCTTGCACTTACCTCTTTTACCTCGATTTCTGTTTGCTTGGTTTTTGGTGGACCCAATGGTCCTCTCTTTTTATATGCACACAGGTGCGAAGGCAACCACCGTTTGCTGGAGGGTATCCTTTTTGAAATTTGCTTGTTAGAGCCACATGGCCTCTCATTATATCATTGGTAGTTTTTCACTCCTCACTAGCACGGGAATTCAGAAGCATAAGTACTAAGGTCACGTTTGTGCAGTTGTCCATAATTTCTTCCTACGTTGTACTTCGCCGTTGTTTTACCCTCTTTTTCACCGAAAGTACCCACATAGCACACAGAACTCTGCAGCTCTGCACTTGGAAGGTCTTTGCGGCGTAAGCAGGCTGCTGTGCAGACATTGATAACTATTCATTGGCACAAGCCTTTCTTGCACTACCATCAACATCCAGCCGATTGTCGTCCCCTGACCTCAACGTAAAG